AAATACGTAATTTAAGTAATCAAGTGGTCAAGTGCAAAGACTGCAAGTGTGGGTATTTGGACAAAGCCAAACTCTGCAGGACACTGGCCCTCCAGGACCGAGTTTGGACAGCCCTGAGTTAGATACTTAGCATTTAGAAAAAATATTTAATACTAAGCAACAGTCCACTAATTGATGGGCACTAAGTGCTGGATTTAATGGTGATAGTCCAAAGCTGAGAACTACGTGCATCTGCAGTTTTGGATCAAACTTCAGCTGAACTTGCAACTTTTGTGTCAACACACCACTTTTTTTAAACCACGTGGCTTCATCCAATCCAATACATGTTCATCCAAATACGAATCTAGCTTATATATAGGGCATTAACAGACTTCTAAAAAGATTATATATATACATATAATACAAAGTGTCAGAGAATGTAATAAAAATGAAATGTATTTTAAGAGAAATCAATTGTCTAACTACGTTTATTCTTTCCGTTTATGCTATCTCAGTTCATGGGACTTCAGATAGAACTGTAGCTAAGTCTAAAAGCCGAAATAACACTCGCTGTCACCTGGAGGATTTAAAAAGTCCCAAGCTTACGGGCCTCGGTTGCTTGACAGCTTGTGTACGGAGGAAAGCTGTCGGTAGGCTAATCCTCCGCGGAATGAGACTGCATAAAAGCCGAGAAGACGACAAAAACAAATTCATGCAACGTTTGTGTATACGCATGTCGTACCTTCCACCACTTCTTCCATGTTGTCATCATCGCTGTCCATGATTGCGCTACCTCTGTTGTTTATTAGAGGTAAAATAGTCTGCTTCTATATGCCTGTCGCGGAAGCTTCAGCAGCGCAGAGCTGACGGTTCCCGGCGCACAGTATCTGACATCATCAGCGCCGAACGCACAGCACAGATTTCCAGCTACTATGGCAAGCCGCCTTAGCTTAAAATATCCCCAGCGTTACTCGTCGCAATTGCATTTTTACTAGTAAGAATTCAATTAGAGAGCGCTACAATTAAATTCTTACTAGTAACAATGCCAGTTAGAGAGCTCTCTAAATCAATTCTTACTAGTCATAATTATGATTAGAGAGCTCTCTAATTGAATTAGAGATATCTGCAATTGCGTTGTTAGTCAAGTCAAGTCAAGTCTGCTTTATTGTCAATTCTTCCAC